TAGAAAAGCCGTATAGATATTAAATTTTTTAAAATAAAAAAATATTTATGAAAATAAAACACATAATTTGTGAATATTTTTTAAATTTGTGGTTAAAATTTTCTTAAAACCAGGCACAATTGGGGAGAACATGTTCGTTAATTATTTTTTTAAAAGAAATTGAAACGAAATGGCCAAAATTTAGAGAAATTAATTTTTTTTAAATTTTGGCCGATCCCGATCAAAATTAAACCGATCCCAACCATAATTGTATATTTATTGCAAATAAATACATTTCCCCAAGAACACTAGTCTGATTAAGTGTAATAAGGATTAAAACATTAATGAACTTGACAATAAAATAGATTTCTTCATTGTAAATACAGTAAATTAGCATTTTATTAATTTTGTATTAATTTTGATAGGGATCAGCTTAATTTTGATCGGGTTAGGTCCAAATATTAAAAAAAATTAATTTCTCTAAAATTTCTCAATTTCGATTCAATTTCTTTTAAAAATATGTTTGACAAACATGTTGTCCTCAGTTGTGACTAGTTTTATGGTGATTTTAACCATAGGTTTAAAAAATATTCACAAATAATGTTTTATTTTCATAAATATTTTTTTATAAAAAAATTAAAAAGTCTAACAATCCTTTCTTTACATATTTTATTAAATATTAAAGCCATATATGGCGTAACTGATCAAAAAAATATATTTTTGAAAAATACAAAATTAAGTAAAGAAATATAGTTAATACATTCAAATTAAAGCTTTTCATATAATTCTGAACACGGAGAACACCTCGTCTCATCTAAAAATACAATTTTATCTTCTCTGTAATGTGTTATTTAAATCTTTTGTATTTTCTTCCGATACGGAGAAAATTCTGAGAATCAAATTTAAATTGTGATATCTTTATAACGCAATCGACTTAGATTTTGTAATTTACGGAAAAGTTCTATCTTTATATAAAGTAATGACACAAATAATAAGTTCTTATAATTTTAGTCTAATAATTTCCATTGCACATACGCCATATATGGCTTTAATATGATACATTCATTTACAGCAAACTTTTAACTCGAAAACATCTTAGTTGAATTTATTTAATTTTTTTTTCATTTTCTTTGAAAAAATACAAAAAAAAAAATCATATAAAATAATTAATAGTTAATATCGACCTTTCAATGCTAAAACCAATGTTTAAAAGGATGACTCAAAGATCTATAAAATAAAAAGTTGGTGTGGCATTCCACCTTAAAAATCTATTTGTCAGCCCCTGGGATATATCAATGTTCTGTGTAGGAAACATGCATATTTTCAAACATTAGTAGGCCCTATTAATGTTCAAGTAAATAAAAACAACATTGCGTCTTAAATACCTCCTCTTCCCACTCTTCTGAGGAATCCATTTCTCATTCTTTGATTTTCACCACCGTGACCACGTCTACTTTCATTTTTCATGAGTTAGGAATACCGATCCCGATGTATTTAATGGAACAAAGGTAGGGTTTTCTCCATAGGCCTTCTTTTTATATACAGTGAATATGCCATTTTTGAAAACGTGCTAATTTCGGCGAATTTTTATTTTTATTTTAATGAGGGTATTCAGGCACACATAGAAAAACACAAAATACACCATCATGTAACCAAGCGCATTTTTATATTTTTTAAAACGTGCTATAATTTCGGCGAATTTTTATTTCTATTTTAATGAGGGTATTCAGGCACACATAGAAGAACACATAATACACAAAATACACCATCCTAGCTGTAACCAAGGGCCTATGATTTTCTCTCCATCAAAAATTTTCTTACTTAATAAAATTTCACTAGCCAGGCAAATAAATGTGGAGGATGGGGCAGCTTTCCCCACTTTTTCATGATAATTTTCCATTTAGATGCTATACCCCCCCCCCCCCCACACACACACACCTTGAACCACACCCTCACCACCATTTCTTTACCTAATCCGAGATTCCTCTGACTCTAACCCCTGCTTTTATATTGTGACTTGTGCAGGGGAGAAATATAAGTCATAAATAAGTCACAATATAAAAGCAGGAGTTAGAGTCAGAGGAATCTCGGATTATTCTTTACCATCTATGCCACGTGTCGATGTATGCGAAAGCCTGTCCACTTCTCTAAAGAGAATATCGTATTTATTATAACTCTACATGTACCTTGGTAATGGTTACTACATGTGTATGTAACTCCAAGTAAACCTATATATGAGTATATTTTTACGCCCCCGTAATAGAAGATTTGGGGATATAATATATATAATTATACATGTAGTCTTTTGCCCTGTCTATCTACATGTAGTTGTTTGTCTGTTAATCCGCAAAAAAAAACTTTAACTTTAAAAATGTCCATAACTTTTGAGTGGGTGATGTTATGGCCTTCTTATTTCACGTGTATTTTCCTTGTGACAAGACCTTTCTTTGGGTACCATCAATTTTGACATTAACCTTAGAGTATGACCCACGTTTAATTTTTTTTTTACCTTGGACGTAACTTTTGAATTAACAGGAAGCACTAGGGCTTTCATATTTCACAGGTATAGTATAATATTCCTTGTGACAAGATCTTTCTAGCTTTAATTACCAACAATTTTGACCTTTTGACATTGACCTTAGAGTTTGATCCACTTTTTAAAAACTCTAACATTGGCCGTAACTTTTGAACAGTAAGCACTAAGGGCTTTCATTTTTCACGGATTTATTCCTTGTGACAAGACCTTTCTACAGTGTAGCTTAATTTGGGTATCAACAATTTTGACCTGTTGACATTGACTTTAGAGTTTGACTTACGTTTTTAAAGAACTTAAACCTTGGCCGTAACTTTTGAACAGTACATGTAAGCACCGAGGATTTCATATTTCACAGATGTATTCCATATGACAAGACCTTCCTTTGGATACTTACAAATTTGACCATTTGACCTTCACCTTGGAGTTTGACTTGCATTTGAGAAACTTCAACCCTCGCTACCATACGAGGGCAGCAGTACTTCACAAACACATCTTGTTTTGTAATTAGTTTGCATGCAATTTTTTAAGAATAATTTTATTGCGGTCCTCCGCTTTCAGAGTCTTAGTGTTAATGCACATGTGAAATATGAAAGTCCAACATGTATCTATTCTCATTCATAAGTTATGACCAATGTTAAAAGTTTTTGTGACAGAGGACAGTCTGACTGATGGACGGACAAACGAATGAGAATTGAGATTAAATGTCCCTTTGCTTTTGCGAAGGGGGGGGGGGCAAAAATATGAAATTGTTCCATGTGTTTGAATACAATCGTTTTCTACTGCGCTGACATCATTGTAAGATTAAATGTGAAAATTCCTTATGAGTAAATTCAAATTTTAAAACGTCATACATGCGCATGCATGATCCAAATGCAATATGTTCGACTGAGTAATTCAATTCAAAGCAAATCAATTTATGTCTGGCTTTATGAAATTAAATCGTTTTTTCCCATCAATGATACTCTCGACTCGGTTATAAATACTTAATTGGTATTAGTAAAACCAGAATTAACAAAGCCGGGTGGCATCGAAATTAAATGCTTAAATGAAATAACCGAAAGGACAGATTATTTATTTGTTTGGGATATTCATACAACGGAGATTTAATTATAATCGGCTAAAACTGGCGAACCTGAATTGACCTTACAATTTGTCGTTAACCATGTATGTAATGGCTGAAACAGAAATTCCGCGATAACACACCATTAGGAAGAAGACGTGAAAGTTCAGCTGACCCCTCCCCTAATATCAACGACTTCTAGAGAATTTTCTATTTAAATTAGATTCAAAACATATTGTAGAAATATACATATATTTTGTTTTTAACATACTAATAAGAGATTGTTAAACATTTCCCCCCTTGTAAATAGGATCGATAAATAAATCGTGAAAAAAATCACTTAATCAAAATCCATCAGGATTCGACAAATAGATGCCGACGTATACCTCAATAAATTTAAATCAAGCAATTATAGACTCCATTTGCAATCTACAAGCCTTGCTTTGCTGGGATGCCTAAATACACAAAACTTTTGAACTTCTAAAGTGAATTGGAGTGAATGTTTGTATTTCGTACCCCGTTATCGCAATATTTCAGTATGCTAACACTTAGATTAAATGAAATTGAATATCACTAAGTCACACGACGGAATGTTGGGCCATTACAAACTTTTAGGAAATATACTTAAAATGCTTTTAAAAACCCGACACAATTGAAATAAATTTGAAGTTTATGGAAAAATTGACAGACGGAACCTGGTGTTGAAGTAACTTAAAGTTTAAACTTTTTTCCCTTGTGAACTGTCAGAGCAAAATTGACAAATGCGATAAAAAGTACTTTTTTTGAAGGAGCTGAAAAACCATGTGACTTTTGACGGAGAAAATATTGCTTGCTTTGATTTATCGGCAGCTTTGATCGTTATTGGTTGGCTAACTCATATTGAGAAAAATCAAAGTTGATATAAGCTTTTACCATGGAAAACTGCATGCATGTTAAAGCCCTTTAATCGCCTTGTATAAACTTTCACGAGCGCATTAGTTAAAACCAATTTTATATGTTTAAATTCCTGTGTTATGTTGCGTTCAAACTGTGATTGAAAATCATTCAATGGATCGTGGACTTTTGTAACAGTATCGGATATTTCTATTGTCTGGTAAACTTTCCCTTTTCTTTTTAATTTTTCAACCGAAATCTAATGAAAAATGTGTATTCCGTTCATTCCTCATATCTAAGCTTGGCCAAGGAGATTTCAATGTGATTAAACGATTTAATGAAGGATTACAGAAAAGTCAGGAGTGGCAATTTTAACATACATGACAGCAATAGACACGTTTTTGTCAACATTGCAAGTGGGATTTAGAGGAATTATGGTCAAAAATTAATTTTGAAAATAACTTGCCCAGCTAAATATAGGAAAAGGAGTAGCTGTTTGTTTCTTGTACATAAAAAAGTATTCAGCAGAACTGGAAAGTTATTCATGAGATTTGTAGAAAATTTGGTAATCAACATCAGTGTTAATTAAGCCACATACAGAGCTGGGCATGGAGAAAATAAAATGGAATTTTCAGAGTCTGGACCAGCTTCACTACGCAGTGAACTCCACGTTACGATACGCCATGCAGAACGAGAGATGTAAACGGTGGTCTAAGGTAAGATACGGATATAAATCAAGGAGCTTTTACTCCTTGGAAATTACACCACATACCTTTGAGCTTTCCCACCCCCTTTTAAATCGATTTTCTTCCATCCCCCTTCACGTTTCTGTATCTAATTCTATATAGGGTTCTTGTATATGCATTTGTGATAGTGGTCTGTAATTATAAAGCAGAGATGACCCTACCTATACATGTGCATGTCAGTATGACTCTGTATGCTGTATATAATGAAATTAACACTGTAGCATACAGATTATTATTCAGTATTAGAGGTATACTTTTATTGAGTTTCGATTTGTTGATAATTCAAAAATCTTCACGCCATTGTCTATTACACAATGTTGCTATACACTATTATATAATAAATATTAATTCAATATTCTATAATGTTTCATGTTTCACTCCAATATATTTTATTTAATACATGTAATTCGTAGATTGAAAACTAAGTTTATTTAAAAAAATAGATGTGTTTGTGAATCACTGATACCTCTGTATGGCAGCTTATTGCAAAGGTTGAAGTCTCTAAAATGCAAGTCAATCTCCAAAGGTCAAGGTAAAAAGGTTAAAATATTTAGTATCCAAAAGAAGGTCCTGTCACAGGAAATATACATGTACCTGCGAAATTCGAAAGACCAAGTGTTGACTGTTCAAAAGTTATGGCCTAGGTGAAAGAGTGGTATATTTTTGGTATATGCGAATAGAATTCCAAGATAAAGAGACCAAATTTAGTGGTACCCAAAGAAAGGACTTGTCAGAATATGTGAAACATGAAAGCCAAGGCTCCATTTACTAAAACTTATGGGCAAGGTTAAAGTTTTTTTGACAAATACACAAACAGACGGCCGCACAGACGGGGCAATAAGTAAACTACATATCCCCGAGTCTTCGATTACAGCAGCATAAAATGAAAGAAAGAGATATCAATAAACTAATATAGAATTTTGTTTGAAAAAAGTGAAGACACTGAGAACAGGTAGAGAACGAAATTGTTTGGATATATCTCAAAAAGTACATGTAAGTACCATCTTCCATTTTTGTGGCCACCCTCTTGAAAAGTGGAAAAGAAAGCAAATGATTTAATTATACGTCGATGAGAAGATTTTGACAATGTTTGACAAAGATTTATTGAGTTCGAGCCCGACATGTCAGAGATAAGTGCAGACATTCCCTTGTTAAATACTCAAGTCCCGAAAGCCAATTTATTTTATTATGAGCGTGTCAAACGAGGACACTAGCTTTGGAGAGATTTTTAATGTAAAAGTAAACAATGGACCGAATCCGTTATATATTTGTATGAGTTTAATTATTAGCAATATTATCAGAAAAATGCAACTATAAAGTATTGTGTACTATTTTAAATTCAATGATACAAAAGTCGACGAAGTCTTAAAGTACATGTACTTATGTAAATCCAAACTGAAAGAGAAGCAAGAATCATACTTTTATATAATACGATGTTCGTTTTTTTTAAATAAAGTACACTCAAACTTTGAATGAGGCCAAGTTTTCAACCAATTTTAGTTTCATCAGATTTTCAATAAATTGCCTAGACCGTCACAAAAGCAAAAGTGCAATGAATTACATATAATTTAGATTAATATGCTTGTATGATTCACTGAGGAAGTATGAACGGAAATTTTTAATTGGTTGAGATTTAAATTAACTCTCAACTTCTACAAGAAGTATATAGACAATATCAGTCTAAAAAATGAATCATTTAGAACATTACTAGTATAAGAAAAATCTTTTCTCCAAGATAAGAAAAAAGGTTTATAATACCAATGAACTATAAAAATGAAAAATAATTATAAATGGAGGAATACATGTTTGGCACTCACTTAAGAATATTCATGCAGTGTTAATATGTTTTAATTAATACATTTTTTTTTATTCTCAGGCACTTTGAGTGCATACTGAATAATTGACTCCAAGTGGATGAGAAGCTTTTGAATGTTTACATTAATGTTTAACATTGTTTTATTGATTTAAAGGATATCGTACCACATACACGTTAAGTTAAAACACTACTTCGTCAAGTACAAATGTACTCTCTACAGAGACCCTACAGCCAAACTACCTTTCATTGAGAGCATGGCAAACAGGTATCTGTTCCGAAGAAATTTCACTGTAACGTGAAGGGAAATGTTTTTTAAAAGTTATGAATTTCCAATATTCATAGATCTTGTAGATGTTAATCAGAGTATTATAAAGGAATGAAAGATTTGTTAGTGCTCTGTCTCAAGAGAGCATTTGTTTTTTTGTTTTTTTTTAAAAAAGCATTTTTGGAGAGTTAAATTGAGAAATAGAGGGGTGGGATGGATTTTTTGTACATTGTTGTTTAAAAAATACCATACATATAATATAGTACTGAATTCCTCAAGGATTACCGATTGCTGGGAGTGATATCAAATATTGACAATGATGACAAATTTATGTTTTATTATTTTTCCAAATATACATTGATTGAAGTAAACAAATTCGAAACAAATTCTTACAACTTACTGCTTCCTCTTCCTTATTACGTAAGGACAGATGATACAAAAAAAAATGGATGCCTGGAGTAGTATATATTTTTTGGCCTAATTTTATTGAAAATGATGCAAATAATAAATTTGTAGAATACAAAGAATTTGTAAATCTCCTGTGATATTCAAAATTCTGCCTCTCTGAAACCATCCTTATTAATCTATACAAATATTTTTCACTTCAAATCTCATTTTTGTGAAAATTTGAATTAAAAATTAAAAATTACGCGGTGAAAGTTATTTATCTTACTCATTAACACATGACTCAGGTTGTTAATTTCATATCTTTTGACAAAAGTTTGTTTGTATCATCTGTCCTTAATGTGCATACTTTCTTTAGCAAAAATATTTTACAGCTAAGATGTTTTTTCCTTCCCTTTTTGCATTCTTTAGGGGATTGTGTTGTGGTTGTTGTTCCCATTAACTGAATCTAGATTTAACTATGCCGTGAAAGTTTATATATTGTTTTAAAATACTTTAAATTTTGAGCACCTTTTCTAAATGGATGCGAGGGCAAAACACGTAAAGAGAAATTAAGATTCTTTATAAAATGCAAACGTGACATATCAGAGATAAACTCTGAATTTGGACAAAAAAAGTCCTAAAATAGAACGAATACAAAAAAGACTTTTGCTGTTAATTAATCAAAACTAGCATCGGGCATTGTTGCATATCAGTGGGTCTTTAATGTAAGAAATACCTGGGTAGACCAATTTCGTTATTTAATTGTTAGTTTGTTAGATAACGTAAACTGTACTTAGTGATTTTAGCACATACAAGATAAAGAGTTGACGGATAGATTTAAATCGTCAATACCTTAAGATTTAATTAATTATGTCTCAAAAATAAAAGAAAAGGTACAGAAACTACCCTTTTCTTTATATCCCCACATAAAACTCTGGAAAAGGCCTTTTAACGGATAGTCTTTTTTTGCATTGCCCCCAAAATACTCGTATATTGATTTTGGAATTGATATACACAGGTATAGGTTAATGATTAATTGCCTTCTGCTGCTTTTTCAATGAAAATGGAATTCGTAAAATTACTTTGATAAATTTGATAAATTATCTTGTTCAAAAACATTCTGAATGTACACACAAGTACGCTGAAGGTGACATATAAAGATGTTTGAGTTTCTAATTAACTATATCTTTGTTGTTTTTGGAGACCAAATCTTCCAACTATCTATTGGAATTCCCATGGGTACCAAGTGCGCCCTGTTATAAGCAGACTTTTTTTTTGTATTCATATAAAGCAAAATTTGTTCAAAATTTTAATCATGGAAAGAAGAAAACACTTGCTGTGGCCTTCAACCCGACATTCAGATATATCGACGACGTAACACATATGTCACTATTAACAATGGTTATTTCCATTCTTATGTCAATACGATATATCCCAGTGAGTCTGAGATAGAAGATACCGCAAAGAGTGACAAATCTGTTTCATATTTTGATATTTTACATGTACTTTAAAAAGACGTTAATGTCAATCCAACATCCAATCTCTATGATAAACATAAAGACTTTAACTCTTCATTCGTCAAATCCCGTACTAAGTCTTACACAGCAATATACATGTACCTTCATCACAACATACGGAGTTTTTATCTCTCAGTTGATTCGATACTCAAGAGCATACTCTACGTATGTACAATTTCTAAAACAGGGTAAATTATTGACAACCAAGTTGCCGAAACAAGAGTGCCAGCTGTCTCGTTTAAAGTCATCATTTCGTAAGTTCTTTAGTCGATACAGTGACCATGTCAGCAAATACAATTTAACATTGAGTCAAATGCTGACTGACATTTTTCATACTACAGTAAAACTCGATTGTACCGAAGTCAGTGGGGCCTTTAAAATTACTTCGCCATATCCATAATTCGTTATATCCGTAGAAAGAATTCGTTAAATTTATGTATCTGGGGATCCAAAATAACTTTGTTATATCAGTGAATTTGCAATATCCCTGCGTTACTCCATTATTTACACACTGAATTGACGACAGATTTTTCCTTCATTTCCCGTGTGTGACCGGTCGGCAGGGGATGCTTACTCCTCCATGGCACCTGATCGCACCTCTAATGTTTAGAAGGTCCATGTTTGCTCTCCTCCTATTTTGTATTGTTTTATGGACTTTTGAGCTTGAATGCTGTTCTTTTTCCAAATATTTCATTGAAAAAGTGTGGTAAAGACAATTTTTTCCCATGACTTCTATCTGTTCTGTACATGAACACGTAGCAGCCCCTATCAGTTTTCACAGATATTTAAGCAATGTTGATTTAAATGTTGATTAAATTCTGATTAAAATAAAATAATATAAATTATGCTAAAAAGTTCGAAAAAAGTCCGATTTTTTAAAATAAGAAATGTATAAAACATTTATTCTATTAAAGATATAACGTAAGTTGCAATGAAATAAATGTATAGTACCTTAATGAGAAGATATCATGCATGTTTAAGATTTTTAAATTATAAAGGACAAATTTAATGCTACTTTTGCACAAATCCATTTACTTTTCCTGTGAGTTCCAAAAGCAAACAATTGCTACTGTAACGGTATATTATTTCTTTACAAAACACCTTATAGATTTTTTTTTTATTAACAGGTGATAGAGACGTATAACCTGGTCCTGTGGATGATCGACCTGAAGAACCTCCCCAATGATTACGAGCCCCCAGCTCTCTACCACATGCTGGTACGTAAATTACTTTCCTTTTAATGTGTCTCTCTGTGTATAAACTTGTCCAAGTTACTTTGTTATATACACATATGTACATGTATAATTATCATTTAAAATATCTGGTGTTTTTCTTGATACAGAACAGGGAGGATAATAACCATTGAATCTAACATAAAGCTGTTGTTATGGAATAAAGAATGAATTCTGAAAAAAATCTATGGATTAAAAATTTAGCATATATCATTTAATGTTTTTATTGCAGATGTATGAGACATATTATCACATTGGAGTCGCCTACCAACACATAGGGGACCATAAAAGAGCAGCTGACGCCTACACAAACGCCATCAACACAGTTTCTATTCCTAAGGTAGAGAGATCTAATTGTTGACCATAATATTATTTTTTTTACTATGACAGTTTAATTTCATATTTTTAATTTACAAGCAATTTTATTGCTAAAAGGACATACATGCACCAATATTACTTGTCCATTTACATACCATTTAAAATATGGCATCAATGACATCATGTGTAATGAAAGAAATATCAAATGTCAAATTCTTCAAAAAAAAAAATTCTAGAATAAAGTTTCTTAGTAAATCAAAGTACGAAAGAATATTTTAGTTAACTATAGCAGTAAACTTTAGCTAAAATAAATTTCTGTTAGGGCCCGCGCGCGCAACAAAGCTTTACCGGTATTATAATAGAACTGTCTCCTAAGCTATAAGCATAAACTGATTCAGAAATTGAAAAGAAATATCCTATAAAAGATGTAAGTTATTAAGCGTTTATATATCTTTTTTAGAATGGTTGTTTGGCCGGGTGTGTTACCAATTCCTGTCTGATGACACCATTATACGCAAGAAGAGCTTTTGCATATGTTCGAATAGGTAATTTGAATTTATATTATCACTATAATGAACTCGCTTGCATTTCAATAAAAAGTGCTCTAACATGACTTTTCAGAAAAAAAATCTTTTCAGATGTAAAAATCGTACATACAATCTTACGAAACCCTAAGAAAGAAAGTTATCTATAAAATATGACAGATATGGCAAAGTATTCAAAACTTCTCTATCTTAAAATATATTTTAGGTGATATGAAAAATGCAATGAAAGACGCAGAAAAGGCAGTGGTGCTAGACAGTAAAAACCCTGTGAGTAAAATGCCAGAAAAGTTTTAGGTAGATGTATCTCTGCAAAGCTACTGCTATTGTTTAGCATATCAGGTAGTATTTATATACTCTTCGTTATAGACTTACTTTTATTTAAACCTATATTTTAATTACTTTTCGTTGTTGAATCTTGTAAATATTCACTAAAAACTGCTACTATGCTTTTAAGCGATTTCTTTCTCACAAACCTAAGGAATTTGGAGATAATTATATAAAAACTAATTATATATTTCAGGATGTGTACTGTATACGAGCTTTAACAAAAAGTTCAGATGACAACGAAGGAGCGGTATGATAATATTATATATGTGTAGTAAAAAGTGACATTGAATAAAAACAAAAATCAAGTGAAAAAATTCAATATATTATCAAATCATAATAATAATCAGAATAAATTATTTTTATTATTTCTGTAAAACGTGTAATACTTTTTTCTCTCACAGGCTTTGAAGGATGTTGAGCTTGCATTAAAGTTTAAACCCGGTCATCTTTGTTCCTTAATGTTGCGATCAGCACTTACAAAGCCACTGGTAAGAGACTTCATTATTTGAAAGATTAGTAATTTTTACTTTAAAAATAAATGTGTATGATACCCTTTAGGATTTATAGCATACATGTATATTTTAATAATTTTAGAGTAACTGTTTCCTTAGTTTCTATCTGTAGTTACCGAAATAAAAAAAAAAAATTATGATATGAAATATTGGGGGCAAATAAATCGAGATGTAATATTTTTGCTATATATGCAAAATGTTAATTTAAAAAAGGAATGAAAAAATCAATTTTAACTTATATTTTGGCAAATTCAAACAGCTGCGATCAGATGCAAAATAAAAAGCAGATTTTATTTATTTAGATCTTTCCTTAACTACAAGCCAATTTTCACCCCTGTTTTATTTTCGAGGTATCCGCCCTAGTTGCTTAGGAAACAATATTACTTCTTCACAAAACTGTTGAGGGGCGAATTGAAAAGTAGGGGATATTAATTGTTTTCAAGTATATGAAAAGTCGAAAATAACTCGAGGTAAAAATAACTCTGTTTATAGTTTTAGTAAGTATGTTAGATTTATATCTTTTTAGGAATAGTTGTTTTTCATATAAATATAATGACACTGTACTTATTTCAAGCATAATTGTCAATCTTCATACGAATGAACCCAACAATTTTGTTAATTTTGTTTCATCAATTTGCAAATGTGTGTCCTTAGAGAAATATATCATAGTTATCAAACATCTATTTTAGTTCAATAAAAAAAAATATAATAAATAAATTTTAGACTGATGACTTACAAATGACGGTAATATTTCTATGCATTACTTTGAAACCTAGGTTGCATTGGATATTTTTGTTTCAGAGATTTTAACGTTTTTTTTATGTGATGGACATATATACAATATTGATTTTCTGTTTTGATTTCTTTTTCTATTTGGAATAAAGGTTTCACAATTTTCAAGCTTACTTGCCGTAGTCCAGAAGGTATCGCACATGTCATTTACGTTGTGTTTGGAGTGTGTTGATTTCATACTAATCTAAGACAAGTCTTGGCTGCTAGCATGTATATTAAGATCTTGTAATTACACAAAATTTATATATAAAATTTCTTTTTTCACATTTCCTTTATTATCTATATTTTACATATACCGAGAGTGCATGAAAATATTAATGAATACACTATGTGCTTTCCGTTTGATTCCAGGGATCCGAAAGAACCATTCTTGTAAATCGTAAAACAGTATTAAAATGTTTTCAAAAGCTATAAGAGTAAATCAAAAATATTATATTATGTAGACAAAATTTACATGTAAATATAGTTGCTTTGTTTTGAACAGGACAGGTTTTATTAGACTTTTGTGACTGATATTAGAATTTTTATGTTATTTACAATGATTTTTTTTTCACTATAAAAATTACTTTAGCTTAAGTTTCTCATTGTGCTTTGACATCACTGAATATTCTTTACTTTTATCTGATAAATAACATATTTCAATGGAAACAAAAGCAATAATTTTTTCAACGTTAATGGATTTAAAAAAAATATTTTAAGAGGCACATTATGATAAACAAGGCAGAAGAGATCGTTTTCTTAATGCTCATGTATTTAAGTCTGAAATAGAAAATTGCATATGCAATCAATTGTACCATTAACCCAGTTTAAAATTGACTTTGGTGCATCCTTATTAAAAAAAATTAAAATTGTATGCGAGATAACTTTTACTTGCCTTCCAGTGAAAATGTATACCCCGGTACCCCTTAACATAACTTCGTCCTATTAACGACTGTCTGATTTTCAAAATAACTCGCATTATCCTTTATGTATATTATTGAGTTTTAGTCCAGCTTTAAACAGAATTATTGAAAAAATGGAGAGAAGATTGAAAATAATGAGCTTTTAATGAAGACTAGGCATGTGAAATTGCATTTTTTTGTAATAGATGCGAGATGATGTCAATAATTTTTTATAGTATATCTGAGAGTTTTTAGTATGTGCTTCAAAATTTTTGCAAAGTTTTATCAATAATTCAACAGGAAAACACTTTTCAAATTTGACAAATTAGATATACTCATATGGCAACTATAGAGCTGCTTAATAAATTTGATATTGCATTACTTTCAAGACATCCTACAATGTAATACATGAATTATTATCTTTTGAAAAGAATTGTTTTGATTTATTACTCTTTATATGCCATCATTAATATAACAATACCATGATGACGTATAAAAAGCTGATCAAACTAGATATTTTTTAAATTAGATTCTTACAATGTATCATAAGTCTTTAATGGGATGCCTCTTTCTTTGTTTTTAAATAGGTGGATGCAATGAAATCTGAAAATGAAAGCTGTGCCACAGTTACGAATTTCAGACACCCATGCATTATGGAATTTTACGACAAGTAAAGTTTATCTTTTGCAATCGAACTTAAAAATTGATCAATCATACATATAATACATGTACATGTAATGATTCAAAGAAGATGAATGCATTGTTTCAATATACATTATCTGAACTGGAGTAAATAGAGTTCAATTAGGAATTATTGTTTTAAATATGAAAAGAACAGAATATATATTTTTAAAAAAAGATCGTTATTTAGTTTTTTATGCCATTTGATTTCAATTTTGAAATATCCAATACATCAGTATTTAAGTTATGACATTTCTAGCATTTATTTACTTGTATATAAATTTTATGATTGCTACAACATTTAGGTGAATTGATTTTGCAGATACTTGTTTACCCTGTGTGTACCACACACCGTTGTCCAAATCGACCTGACGCCCAATAAACCAAGCAAGAAACAGTTAGCAGGTTGGTACAAATGGCATTTTGCAATTATCCAGATATATTTGTTTTTCAACTATATTAGAAAACAAATAAAACAAGTAAAATAAAATCTGAAGAAACATAAAATCTACAAAAAAAACGGAACGTCTAAAAGATGAACTTAGAGATTGCACATGTACATGTAGTAAGAAGGAGTTGCATTTCACACGATAAAGGGGTTGTGGGTTTCTAATTATAAGTATGCAATATTTAATTATTTTAAGGTGAAATCGTAAAGCTTACATTCACCAATAGAAATATTTTTTAATCAAGAATCACAAAAAGAGGCACCCAAAGACACACTTAAACAGCGACCTTTCTCTGCGCCAGACAGGATATCTGTTGAGCCCTTCAAGTGTGGGACATCTAGTAATGAATTTGACAAGATGGCCACAAGGAGACGAAAAGATTATGGGGAGGCAATCCGGAAACATATTAGTCGACCGAAAACAGCAAACGCATTTTTTGGTAAAAATATTCTTGTATTAGTTATATACATAAAAATATCATACGAGTCATTTTGGTAAAATGAAAGCTGAAGAAAAATAAAAAAAATTTAAGAAAAAAGGATGGCCTTAAGGTAAATATATGACAGCATAATTATGATTAAAAGTTCTTTCATATTGTTTATGAGTTTATGATTATTTAATGATAAAAAATAAGTTTTAACATGTGTAATACATGACTTTTTCTGCAGAACAATTAGAACGTGAACGGAAGAAACAAGCCGACATAACAGAAATGGAGAGACGGCGAGTTGTTTCAGCAGGAGTCAAGCGTCTTAATGAGACTGCATTAGTTTCCGGTACTGCGCACGCAGAGTCGCATGCAAAGTTAAACAGGCGCTACCATTCAGCACCAGTTACGCGCCTGACAGGGACAAAATTAAATTCAACGTCAACAACAATAAAAGATCTAGAAAGTTCCAAGCCACCAAAGCCACAGAAACCAAGTTATAATAAAGAAAACAAAGAAAATATTCCAAGGTCTTCCACCAACAAAAATAGCACAAAGGATTCTGAATTACGCAGAAATAAATCGGTGACCATAACGGAAAATTCTCCGGATGTAAAGAAAATCTCCACCAAAAAATTTACATTTCCTACTCCAGTGAATTATTCAACACCTGTAAGTATTGACGTTAATTTAAAATTGTAACTTTTCAAAGGCTAGTGTTATCTTGGATTGTTTTTATCAATTTGATGTTTCCTTGAAATCGATAACTCAAATCATTGTATGTCTCTTTAGAAAAAAAATATGTCCCTTCCATGAAGAGTTTGTGCTTCATAAATCCAATTTAAATGACATTAAATCATGAGGATCTCCCCTTTGATACATATTCTCAAACATTTATTATTATCAATAAAGTTAGTAATGTAAAAAATGAAAGATTTTACATGTAGTAAAAAATACAAGAAAACAAAGATGCAAAGATTTTGATAGAAACTTTTAATGTTTAGGTATTTCAACCGGTGAATGTTCGAGATGCCCCGAGGATGTATTACAAGTAAGCAGTCTTTGACCTAATACTGTAATGTTGTTAAATGCTTTATTTCAAATTTTCGTTCCAGTGAAGGTTATATTTAATTTGATTTATTAAAAAAAATTTCAATATCTTTTTTTCTACCTAGACCTTGGAAAGGTGATATGCTACCTGTTGCAGAAGTAAATCGACATATTCTTGCGCCATGTTGGAAGTAATACACAATTCAAGTACCATATGTGACACGGTTTACTTAGATATTATCTTAACATTGCTATGAAAGAATTTTTTAAATTGAAATAAATTCATGTTTCTCAACTTTATTTTTCCCCCCGAAAACCTGTACATGTATTTTTCTTAAATTGGAAAAAAATCAATCAATTATATCTAATCCTTTATAGGTGTACATTGTCTGCATGATTATTGCATTATAGGTGTACCATTGTTATGGATTATTGCTTTAGAAAATATAATTAAAGAAGATTGAAAATATTGTTGCAAGTTATAGCCATGTTTTGTTATATGACTTTTTGCCCTTGACTTTAAATAAACTTCGAAATTAATAGAAAAACAATAATTCAATATTAAAATTTCCTCTAAAACTATAAATACCCTAACGAAGGAACATACTTATGAAGAATACATATTGTTTATATGATATATGGTATACCATGATACAGGTGTGCTTTTCATATCCTTTAAGAGAAAACCGGTCTGAACTGGTTTTATTGTCGACTGATTTCAAACATATTTTTCATTCTTTATAATATTATATATATACATAATATACAACAGCTGCTGGCAGAACTTCAACTCTGATGAAAAAACTATGGAAATACGAACCTTATGAATTAATAAAAAAAGGTACGAAAATAAATGGAGGTAAATATGAATAGAAGAATTGAGTGTCCTGCTATGTAATCTGTCTTTTCCAATTGATTTGTATATCAATTAGACTGTAGCACGGTACAATATGGCCCCCTTGACGTCACCTCATATACAATGTTAACCCTTTTAGCCCTAATTGATAACAGAACGTGAAATTTAATCAATGTCTACATTCTGTTCGTCAAAATCATCGACTACAGCAGCTATAAAAATATAACTTACCTTTTGACATTTTTGGTTACACGTTTAACATGCATTTGGCTATATTAACTTATTGAAAAAAAAAATTGAAGTAATTTCACTCATAATGTGGTAAGAAATGATACTGTTAACATTGATTTATTCATTGTATGGTTATTGCACAAACATATGCCTGAGAAAGAGATCAGAAAAGGGGGTGGAGCTCTCACAGAATATCGCCCCTCCTACTACACATAATATAAGGGGATTCAATTATCAATGACCAGGGACTGAAGTTTTCACGTTCACATTCAACTTAAACCGTAAATAAAGAACTTGGTCATGGAGATTTCAACATGGTTTTTGATGCTGGTAATATTTTGTCCTATTGTGCATTCGTCTTTCGACTCGGACATGGAAAAAATTTTACCAACAGTAAGTGAATTTTGTACTTTTAAGTTAAAAATAGGAAGGTATAATTATTATTTTGAGCATTCAAACACACACAATTATATGAACATACATAAAACTGTATATTGACATACATGTTACATAATTAACTACAAAACAATGTAACACAAATAACCCTGTGTGAACCAAATCTACGACATAAATTCATAGTTTGAACATGAATTTCTCTATATCTTTAATCCTAATTACTTTTCCTCTCGTAAATAAATTACTTGAAATTCCTGTTACATTTGTTATTAATGTATATCAAATTTCCTGCTTTTTATTACATGGCAAGTGATCCCACTTCTTGTGTTTTTAGAGGTCGTCTTTTCTCTGCCTACTCACTATTTGCATGATTTTAACTGCCTATTGAGTTTGATAACTGTTCGTTACCTGCCAAGACAAATCATTGTTATGTTATTGTTAAAAGACTGAAAAATGTGATGAATAGTTGTCTAAAAGACCTTTGAATTTTAATTGTCTTCTTTTATTACAAGTCTCTACTCATACACAGAAAGTTGGATTTTTGATTTCACATGTTGCTAGCTTGTACTCGTACTTCATAACCAACATAAAGGTGTCGCTGAATGTGGAAGACCATATTCAGTTTTCAAAAACAAAGTGATATGATTCTGAAATCAAAAGTTTTCAAAACCAGAAGAAAATGTCTACACATATACGTTGTTTATTACTTATAGGGAAAATGAAATTAATACGCAAGCTATACATTTGCACTTTACTGTAGAAAAAAAGGTATTTACACGTGCTCTGCACACCTGTCGCCTTCAAGCTAGAAATTATCAATATATATTTCTATTCTCATCAGTAATAGTATATACTCCCATGCCTATACATTGATCTCACTTCAAATTTCCTAATTAGATAACTAACTCTTGTCAATTCATGTCGATTTTACATAAAGCATTAAAAATATATTTTCAAAATTTATTTTGAAAGGTGTTTAAAAATTAAAATAGCGATGATTTGTTCTTTATTTGAATAAAAGAACTATATGCGGTATATTGCGTATGTTTGCCCCCACAAAAGTCAAATTTTGAAAACTTCCTGTTGCTGAAAATAAATTACGAGAAATATAAGTTAACAGAAAATATTATAGTTCCAGAGCAGTGTATTCACAATTTCTGTTTTTATGACGTCACAAACTAGTCTGATTTTATATCCTTTTTCAGAATGGACAAAATTTCAACAATTTAAGCTTTAAGCGTGTGTTCATATTGACATATTTCATTGATATTATTTCTACACATTATATCAAAATATTTATCCTGAACACACATGCGCTCGGTGATTTTATTTAAAATATCACATTTTTCTGCAAAATTCATAAAAAACTGAAATTACGTCATATTTGTGACGTCATTACGTACATATGACGTCATTACTTATGAAATTATTCAGTGCTTTGAAGTCAGCATATACTCCCCTGTTTAAGGACTTAATTAAATATTACTCCATCAAAGTTTGATTTTGGGGGGCAAATGTTGGTTAATACCGCATATAGTTCTTTGTAAGTGTTAAATTACATTATAAATTTGTATATCTAACATTCAATGAGCATTAAATAAGCGTTATACAATAATATTTAATATCAATAAGAACAATTTTCTTATCAGTAACTAAGATATATTTTGAATTGTACAAATATTCCAAAATCTTTAGAAAATCTTTTATTATAGAATTAATTGAAAAGCACCAAGTTATGTACTTCTAAGCAATTTAAGGAAACTGAAATTTGTAAAAAAGACTTTCAAAACCAGTTAAATGTACATACATGTATTGTAAGACTTATTAATATTTTATTCATAAATTGTTATTTTAAAAAAAACTAAAATGCTATTAGATATTATAGATAACCACTTCTTTAATAAAGCGGTACCTTGAAGTTATACCTGCTGTAAATAACGTTAGTTAAAATACTGTTGGAATTTTTTATATATTTTTTAACCAATAAAAGTAACGAAAATATTGTAATTTACACAATTGAAAATGAATGCTTTATAAAGATGTCAAATTGACAAATTATAATTATTTATTTTCCTGCAAGGAAAGTAATGCCTCTTTTAAATAAATCCATCACGTAACGCTGTCCATAAACAATGATGTCGTTAAGAAAACGAGGTAGGCCGTTTGGGTCCTTCCGTCCATCCGTCTGTTTCGCTTTGGGTACCAATTTCTTAGCCAAAACTCCTTTCTTACATGTACCACTCAGTGAAATTTAAAGAAGTCTTTTCCAGAATCTCTTTAAAATAGTGCCATTGTGAATCTCCTTTAATTTCACCTTTGGACAAGACCCATATTTTGGGTTCCATAGCAAAACATGGACACTGCCATTATTTCATAATTTTGAAGGGTTCCCATCTCTTATCCACGTCTTCTCCTATACCACTGAATAAAATTTAATGATATTTCACCGATTGTTTTTATCCTCTTATTTCACTTTTTGATTTGACACTTATTTGTGGTCTCCCAGGGCGAAACATGGACTTCTCCAGTATAATCATATCGGAGTCAGGGGTATCATTTAGTGAGCTCACTGCTCCCATTAACTCAAGCTAATTTTAATTTTTTATCAATTGATAAAAAACCAAATTAAATTTTGTTTTAATATAAAGTATCCGAGTTTTTCGGGGCATTCATACCTCTTAACAATTATCATAAATTGATGCGTTTTACCAATATGTCGTATGTATGGAGTTATTTTTCCCAAATGATTCGATACAAAAGTGCATATTCTATGAACAATCATTGTCTTACACGAGACAAACTATTGACAATTAGGTTGATAATACAATGATATCACGTTAGTGTTAAACATATTGCTTAATCAATGGTTACCGTATTAACTTTGAATCTTTGCGGTTTTAATCCGTGATCTTGTAATGTAAATTTCGGATTTTTATGCAGTTAACTGTGAAACATGTATTCATATTTTATCTTTAATTCAAATAAAACAATACAAATAATTGAATGCATAGCAAACTATCACTTGTAAACAAAATTTCAGAGGTCGTATCAATGTGCCAAATAGCGTGACTTATTGTAATAAACCGTACTAAGATGTTTTACACTTTCTGAAGTTCATTCTGTTTGCTCCGTGTCAAATAATAAAAAAGAAATATTTTTACAAATAAATAAATAATTTTCAAAGAAAAATGTTTAGTCCGTGTACATGCACGTCAATTCAGTGTATAAATAATCTCTGACTAACAATTAATTGTTAAAGAAAAAAACAATGTCTTTTTTCATGTTTTAGCATTTAAACATTTTGAAGTGATAAATTGAAGTATTTGCTGGCAAGGTCATTTTTTTCCCATCGACCATAGAAATCCAATTCAATCAAATTTTACGGTCCACCTACTATTATCTTCTGATAAAAACAAAAAAATCCGTTTTCTTATGTCGGAGAATTATCTAAATAATTATTCATATTCTAAAATATTTAAAAAAAAATCTTACATGTACTTATTACCAGAAATATCCATATCCATCTTTTTTATCGAAGTCGATGATATAATATATTTATTGATAATTCTTTGAATCTAAAATCAATATAAAGCCGTTTTTCCGTATAATTTGAACAATTTTGGTGATGAAGGTATATTGCGTGCTTAACGTGTAGGGAACGTGAAGGATCGTTCGTGTATCAGAAAAGTTAAAGTCATCAAGTTTATCATATGCATAGAGCTTAATCAATGGTTGTTTAAATTTGCATTTACCATTAACGTCTTTTTACAAAGTAAAAACAATCAAAAAAGGAGCAGAGCAAGTACTGTATGAAAACAGATGTGGTGCCATACATCCCCTGCTGACCGGTCACACCCGTCGTGTGCTCATTGTCATAACGGAAATATCCGTCGTCAATTCAGTGTATAAATAATGGACTAACAATTGATATGAAAAATTTACCTCGTTTTAGAAATTGTTCATACATAGACCATGCACTTCCGTATTGAATCAACTGATATATACGAGTATATAATCTCCATGTCCAAGTGATGAAGGTATATTGCTGCTTAAGTAAGGGGAGTTTATGATAAAAAAAAGAGTTAAAGTCATCACGTTTATCATAGATTGAAGGCCACAGCAATTATATTGTTTTGTTTTACTTGTTAATTGAGTTGAAGGCCACAGCAAGTGTTTTTTTTTTACACGCATAAGATTTTGCACAAATTCTGCTTCACACGAATACAAAAATATGTCTGCTAATAACGCGGTGAAATTGGTTCCCATGGGATACCAATAGATTTTTGGAAAACCTGGTCTCCAAACTCCACATGGATATTGTCAATCAAAAACTCGAGCATCTTTTTGATGTTAACGTCAGAGTACTTGTGTGTGCAATCAGAATGTGTTTTAACAAAATAATTTTGCAAATGAGCAATGACCAGGTAAGTAAATTTACGAGTTCTATTTTGTATTGAAAAAGAAGCTGACAATGATATCAGAAAGCCTGGACTTTAATTTATCTCGGGAATGGTTGTTGTAAAGTAGAAAAAGTCGTAAGTTTTTAAACTGTTGATTTTGGTAAAATCTTGTGATTTCAAATTGTCCAAAAGTTCGTTGGAATTTTTGAGTATCCACATCGGATTCACACCACTTCTTGAATATATTGTTGCAAAGTACTCTTGAAGTTTTTCCTTCACCACGATCAATATCTTAGTGAAGAGGAAAGAAAGAGGCTTGGTTGAACATTTACTGGAACCCGCAATGTATCTTTGTTTGTAAGGATTTTTGTAAACAATGCAATCTTTCGTTATGTAAAATATTGATCAGTATTTTCAATTTAAATTATAAGACCAATGATTTTGCACACAAATTATTTACAATTTTTTTTTTGTTCAGCCCATGACACCTAATTAACTTTAGATGTTTTAGAGGTAGGTGTTTGCTACTTACCCAATTTCTGAGGTTTAATCTATTCTTTATCTTCTTATTTCAGTAAAAATAAAATTACCGATCTTGCAAAAAGATGTTGCATTAATTAAAAAAGAAATAGTATATACTCAAAGAGTTTTCCTTTTATATCAAACTTTTTTTTATTGATACTCACTAAAAAAATCCTTCTATTCTAAAGCTTTGAAATGCATAATTCTTTCTATTGTATTAAAATGCTCCATATGAAATGCATTATTTTTAACTTCTGTTTTAAACGATGTCACAAAAATAAAAAGACATTCAAAAATTTACACAATCTTTTGAAACATTACGACCTTCAATACCGATATTGTCCTACTAATGGGATACAATTCAAATATTTTCCACAAGGTACACATTAGAAGAATCGTTTTTGTAATGCCTCATTATAATGCTCATATATAATATAAATGATACGGATAAATAATTTGAATTATTGCTAAATACTGTATACGGGGATATTTCCACTCCGTGTTATTTTCGCCCTTTGACACTTGCAGACAATTTTGCCCCATTTTAAATTTGCCCTGTTATCATTTTATTTAAGAAATTATACTGTATTCTTTGAATTCGCCCCGTTTTAAATTCGCCCAAATGAGGGTAGGGCTAAAGGGGCAAAATTAAAACGGGAGCGAAATTTCCCTGTACAGTAAATTTATTACAAATATGGTGAAGTTATATAATAGACTAAAGTCGATGCTAATGTGCCATAATTTATTTAATAATTAATTAGCAATTATACGCGACTTCGTTTTATTATAATGCATCTAACTAAAAATTAGTGTATCTTGAAAATAACAGTTTATAAAATTAACTATAATCAAGATTTAATAATTACAGAATAAAATCTTAAAGCACTTTTACATGTTCAATGTGGTATAAAACAGCACAGAAAATATCGAAGAAAGGTAAAACTAAGGACATTGCAAACATCCACATTATTAAATTTTGTTAAAGATTAATCATCTTCTGTCAATACGTCTACATAGAAATATAAGACAGCTGTGTTATGTATTTGAAATGTAGAAAGAAAAACAAATCTTGTAATACCTGTGTCAACAGAGAGGAAAACATTCAGCAGTGTTTGTCGATATACCGAAGTAGTAAAGAACATGCTGTACTGTAGTAGGATATTAGATGTGATCATTCATGTACGAATCCTGTATTTATACATCTGTTGCCTTTGATTGAATGTTTATTAATTTAGTCCATTGCTTAGTTACAATATTTTTTGGTAAAGGAGTCATCAAGCAATAGATTCCAACCAGACATACGTCCAGACAGATTATTAAATCCATCACGTCATTTTTTAAGGAAAAGATTCTTGAACTTCATTTTTTAAAAAAAATCAACCTTGGAATTATCTTTTGGTTGATTGGTTGTATATTGTTTTATGTCCCATTCGAGAACTTTTCACTGATCAAATAGAAACGTCCAAATAAACAGGTGAAGGCAAGGGTTTCTTATACGCTACTCTCCTCATAATCCCTTGGCATACGGTGCTGATAGAACTTGGGTTTTTTGTCGAGTTCTGAATGAAATCTAATATTAATTTGTGTGTTCTTTCCTCTGCTGTACAGCATAATTTTGGACATATATGTTAACTGATATTCTGGAAGGTGTATATAAGATGTGTATTCTTAAAAACTCCACAGTTTGAACTTTTCAAAAATCAAAATAAAAAAAAAAATCAAATGTGGTATAATAGTAACTGTTTCTTGAAAACGAAACTTAAAAGAACTCGGAAATTGTCAATTTTTGTCTTTATTCTTCATTAAAATAACTTTGTCAATCACAATACTTTTATTGACCGAGTTTGAGGGCAACATGCGTTTTGTAGGACTCAGGAACCAAACTCTCTGCCGGAGGCCGTTAGGCCGAAGGCAGACAGTTTGGTTCGAGGGTCGACAAAACGCATGTTGCCCTCGAACTCAGTCATTAAATGTTTTGTTATAACTTTCATTTCATTTTAATTTTTGCCATTCATGTATTTTGTACGGTCTTCCGTGATGTAACATCAAGAACACCAACGAATGAAAATGGGATTATTCTCCACCCATTCTGTGACGTAAGCGGTCCAACATCTCATCGACCGGTCCAACATCTCGCTCAGCGGTCCAACATCGATTTTTGTATGCCCGCTCACGAAAACATTACAATTGTTTGACTTTTTTTCGTATAGATTTGTAAAGGTAAAACAATATGGTTTCACAAACGAGTATTCCGAAATTGACAGTAAAGAAATGTATGAAATTTTCAACATTGTTCTTTGGATACGAGGTTTTCCAACAAACTTACGGAATCACGGTGCATACTGATTGTTCTCCTATAGTTGTTTATGTACTCAAATGATGCCAAATTTCCTAGATAGGAAAAAGAAAACTCTTGTGTAAATTATACAGAGAAATCGAGAACGTGTTGTCAATCAACAATCACTATTTTTGTTCAAAGTAGACTAGATATATCTCAATGAACTTGAAATAAAAGAAAGCACATAGTTTTCTATTTCAATCTGTTTTATATTTGGATGTTTTACTAACTGAATGCGATAAAGACCGTATAACAACTTTTTTTGTATGATTGACGAGACGACTTCAACTTTTTCATCGTCATTGTTCCTTAATTACATAAATGTAAGCAATATTCCGCAATAATTTTTTATAGCATATACCTAAAGAACATATCTAAGTACAAAAAATTATTTCATCATTTATGTTTAACACATTATAAAATTTCTGATTTTTTCAGTGCACCATCATTGACAGATACATGGAGGATATGAGGTGTGTTGATCCACAGAACATGGAGGCAAATGAAGACAGAATAATATTTGAGGCGGTAAGCTACTAAAAATATTTATGTTTTGTTTGATAAAAATCTAAATGTAACTTTAAAGAATTAACTTTTAACAGTACAAACTGTTATGAAGGTAGTTTGCATGAATATCAAGATACAACTAAAGGAAGTTTACACTAAGTGTTAACGTTATCCAATGAAATAAAAGAATTAATTAATAGAAAAAACTAGTTTGATTTACAAAGCGGATACTTAACCGTCATTGTTTTCTATTTATTCCATGAATGAACAGTCCTTTAAGATAAAAAGAAGTTGTAGGAATGGAACATTATTTATAGTGGAAGTTTTCCCTTAAAAATATTAATTTTACGTCTGGCTATCTGTTTAGGCAAAAGTATTCCCTCTGTGTTATTAACCATATGCGTATAAATTTTCAAATAAAGATGATCTATACAGATTTATGATGTTGAAGTACTTTTGATACTGTGATCATATTATTATTTCATAATTAACACTAATATGTTTCGTAGAAGATGTTCCATATCTCAAATCAAACATTTATTTATTAAACAAGAAGTAAATTTCTCTTAATAAGGTTAAATAAGGGTAAAACTAAAAGGAATCAGGTTAGAGCATAAACTTTATACCCCCGGTATGTAAACATTGACTATTTTAGTGAATATCTTGTCTTGTAAGTCATAAGATTATCACATGAGATATAATTAAGATATATTTTATCCCCTATTTATACATAGAGGGGATTGATACATGGTACTTTGAAGGCATCAAGAAAAAGTATCATACTTTGTTAACGATACCAATAATTTAAATTTAGTCAAACAATTCAGATGTATTTTTAGTTTAAACATTGAAGTTGATGTTTCAATGCGTATATTCATTTTTTAACAGGAATGTCGATGCCCAGTCTATCATTCGTGCTATCTCAAGGTCATTAACGAAATCTCAGACGGCAACAGTATTGTAGACATGGCAACAGCCGAAAAACGCTACATCTGCAAGTCGAAGAAGACGCTAGATGCAGAAAAGAAGAAAAATGACGAGGCGGCAAATGTCGCCGCTTCCGGTTGAGAGCCCATCTACTTAAAAGCAGAGAGATGCATATTTTTTGTTGAAATTTATTGGAATAAAATTCATTGAATATATCACTTAAACATTTTCAAATTATTTTGACTTTTTTAAAACTATGAATGTTTGAAATGGAAACTAATAATTTTTATTTCATTTCAATAAATAGTAATGGGACTCAATTTAGAAAAGTACAGACACATTTGAGTTTACAGATTAATCAACAACCGATTACATGTATTTCCTTCAAAGTAAAAAAAATAAAACTTAAAACACTGGAAACGGGGAAACATGAGCCAAACTCTGTAACACAGAAATTGCTCATATATAAGCCCCATGACCGTTTCTGAATCTAACTACACGGACAGTTCACAACCATGTTTCTCTGAATACTCTATTTTTGTACAATATCAAAGGAAATGAATAAAAATCTCAATGGTTTTACTTTTACTATTTGTCATTATTTTGACCATGATTATGGTCTCCATGGTGATGATCAGGATGACGACATACGATGACGGGGACATCCGAATGATGTAACACATAATCACTGACACTACCCAGGAACGTCCTTCTTAGTTTGCCTGTACCACGTGACCCAGTAATGATGACATCAGCATTATTTTCTCTTGCAGCAGTGACGATACCCTCTCCTGGTTTATTAGAGTGAATACTTTTCACAGTACCATTTATCTAGAAGTGTTCGATAAAAAATGGAAATAATTTTAAAGCAATGTTTTTTTAATCAATATTTCTACTACACACAAAATTTTGTCGGTTCTAGAATTAAGCATAATTACCATTATTCCAACTGCAGTGAGTTATTATCATGTTAAATTGAGCGTGCTAAAGATTCAAATATTGAAATGTTCAAAATCACCATACTAGTATATTCCATAGATTGGATCGATGATAAATATGATGATACTAAGCATCTGCAACTTTAGCCCGCTCCATTAAACAAAGTGTCACGATGTTAGGAGAATGAAAGTAGGACATAATATAGGCATTAAATGACGTTATTGTGATCATTATTTATTTGAATACATTCAGCTTGATACTTTAGTTGGTAGGATGCATTTTTCCATTAGTTTTACAGTTCCGTTATCTGTAGGAATTGACTTACATTGTGCTGTCGCATCATGTCAGCGAAGTGCTCTAATTTATCTTTGATTGTCGCCGCCTCAGTCTCCATTAACTGATTAACGGTGTCTCTGTCAAATGAATAGGGAGCTGCAAAATAAGGCAGAGTGATAATTTTTTGTTTATATATGTTTAACGTATACTATCTCATAACTGCTGTTTTATGTGAATTTAAATATAATTAAAGAATTGATGTATGTTGTCTTTGTGTAATACAATTGAAATATACGGAACAATTTAAATCGTCTCCACCCATCGACAAAAGACGGAATCAATGTCCGGGAAAATTTAACTTGGCGCAATTTACATCGTGTTGTAAATGACGAAAAAAATCAACACACTAATCAAAGAGAAAAAACAGTTGGTGGTGTAACTAACTGTAAAGATGACTCACTATAATACCACTGTGTTGTCTGCAGCACGTGGTGAAATTCTACAGAATGTATCATGATCACGTGGTCTGTTGGGCGGTGCATGGATTTGCAGTACCCTGAAACAGTTAAGAAGAAAGGTTATATAAGGAGTAAAATCAATGAATGAATGAAAGAATAGATAAGTTTATTGTTTGAAAATTCTAAATCAAAATTTTCATTAATGAAAAAGTTTGTTTGCTATATATGCATATATACTGTATGTACTACATGTTTACATTGGATTTTGAGCGTTTAATTTTTTTAAAAATTGTTCGCGGGTTTTTTAATTCGGCGAATTACCACTTCTTTTATTAATAAATCGGAAAAAGTCATGCATAAAACTTTAAATTTGCTATCATTATGCATTCTATAGACTTCAATGGGACTTATACTACAGGAAGCACAACACCACGACGTCACCACGTGACGTCTATAATTAGAAAATATGGCTTAATGAAAAAGTGAAAAGTTCAATACAACCCCGGGGATAATTAATTTCAATTTGTAATAATAGTTATGTAAAAAAAAATATTTGTACCATGAAAAGTACTGCTAGAATCCTACTGTCCTATCACAGAAATAATTATTCAACACTTTCGGACGAAACCTTTCCACAATTTTTTACATTTTGTTCATAAGATCGGGAAAAAATGCATCAATTTTTGTTATCCATACGATTCTAGCAGCAATTACCAAAAACAATAGAATGATAATTTTCGATAGAGTTTTCTTTTAACATTATAATTATAGAAATTCTTAATTATATTAATTCTTTGTACTATTTGGACAATTAACATAAAATATCTTGAATAGTTTTTCAGTGTAATTCTTACGCATTAGAAACTTATTACAATGTACCAGTACAAACGTGTCTGCTTAGCTAATGACACCTTGACCATAAATAATGACCAGAGGTTGGTATTCCTTTTGTCATATCGTGTTTACATGTATATCCCCAAGCACTTCTACACAGTCAAACGTCAGTGAAAATAAACAAGGCATTAAACGTAAATCTGTATAAAGATTTAAACTCGCATTACAGAAAATATTCAGAAAGCTTGTGATTTTGTCTATGCGCGAAATGTTTATTTTTTTCTATGTTAAAACTGAAATAATTTATCTATTAAAAAAGCTGTACCTACTAGACAATTTTTTTCTACGAAAAGCTGCTTGTTAATAATTCTTTCAGGTTGTATAAAAATACTGATTTCGTGTGCATCATCCACAGTCTTGTCATTTAAGACTAACTGTACATGTTGCTGAAATGAACATAGAAACAGAATATATTTTGTTCCATTTAAATTTTTAGTAAAACTATTTCTTGATTCTGTACTTGCCATTAAGTTAAACCAGTCAAAAAACCATAATGGTTTGATAACGAACTATTGTATGCCACAAAGGTCCCTTATATTTTTACCAGACATAACAATTTGTGTACATGCATGAAGCGGCATAAGAAGCAAACTTATTGCTGAATCAATATCGTGGTAGAAAGGTTACGGTGATGAAGAATATCGTTTGTAATGAATAGCACAAAAATTATATCCACTTCGTTGCGCTTGTATACATTGCCATTCAAAAATAAAATTATATATATATCCCTGTAAAAGAATCCGGGTTGTTACGCATCATTATAGTGACTGGCTTTTTAACAGAGCAAAATTGTGGAAATCAAAATGCAAAATTGAACAAATATTAATGAACCTAATGTTTTTAAGCCTTACTTTTAAACACTGGAGTCTGCCTGCATACATGCACATATTAATATTGGAACTATCCGCCCACAGCCCTTTACTAAAATTTCTGATAAGTCCTCCTTCTGAATTATTTTCAAGAGAAAATCTGTTCTCGCATAATAAATATTTTAATTCATTTGCACCTAAATCAATACTTGTACGATTAAATTTAAATTCCCATTCTTCGTTGGATGAATACTTACAATCAAATGCATATTTGGAGTATTCACTTCCGTCAATAGCTATCAAAACTGTCCTAGTCTTTTGAGGCTGTTCTTCCGACATCTTGATTCAGTTGTGTATGTTTACAACTGAGCTACAGGTAAGTGAAATACACACTCATACTTGACCCATATATCTGTTTGCACCTGACAGGTAACGCCGAGTTGACACTGACCATAGGGGGATTAAATGTGTAGCACTGTTTACCTTATGAGCATGTCAGTGAATTTTAAATAGGATTGACTGATAAACTGCGCCAGAACGGGTTATTCATCCATAATGTCATGGTTTATAAGAGATGAAAGGGAAAAGACAGGTAGCCATGCATGCTACATCTTTTTAATTTTTGCAGGTATTATTTCTGGCATTTTGAATATAGATAAATCAAGTGCTCGTGAAAAATATGAAAGTGCATTAATTTAATTATCTAAATTTTAATATATATATATATATATATATATATATATATATATATATATATATATATATATATATATATATATATATATATATATATATATATATATATATATATATATATATATATTACATTGTATGTAAAACTATTATGCATTTCGACCAAGTGTTTTCAAATTAATTCAATTGTTGTCAAGTTCAAATACTAAGAAAATATGTAATCATGGAAAATATATATGTTTTGCAAACAGATTAAGAAATGAATTGCTGTAATCATAAAATTAATACTTTATTCAAAACTTAATACTATAATATATTTTATGTATTTATGCTGTTCATATGAATTGTTCTACTGTGTAATATATGTATTATGTATTTATACCTATGAGATGTATGTCTTTTGGTTTTAATAAAATCTGAAATCTAATTTCTTTGGTCATCATGATCAGTCATATGCATGTTATGACTACATTAAATGTTTAATTATGAATAAATGACATTAACTACATGAAGATTTCAATATGATTTCTTTCCTTAAACAATTCCAAACTAAGGCAATTCTAATAATCAGCAAAAAATTGAACAGCATACATTTGTTGATTTACGAGATACAGAACTTAAAATTCTTCATAGTGTAAACAAGACTCGTGCATTGTTTTTGTTAACTTTTAGAAAATATCATATTTATAACAAAACGAGATTTGGCAAATCACTAGAAAATGTCTAATCGTAATTAGAATTCACTTCTTTACTGAAAAAAAAATCTATCAAGGAACATATGTTTGTATTTTTAAACTAAGTAAACAAAAGAATGGTTCAGGACCTGTTTGCATAACAAAGGTATGGAGCTCTAAATCTTTCTTGTATCTCAACTACTGATATTTGAATTTTTGATGTCCATTAGAAATACCTTAGTTAAATTTTTGTAAACATAAAAAAAAATGGAAAAATAAATTTGATAATTTTTAGCTGAAACTGTGTCCATGTCTCTTTAACTTCGTGTACTGCGTACTTTTAAGGAGATAAAAATTCAACTTTACAATGAAAGTAATCAGCAACTCCTTGTTGACAACAGTGCAATTTGCAATTTGCAATTGTCACGTGCAAGGTAAGGAATTTATGAAGATAAAAACAAGAACCATCCTCGAATCACGTAATCAAGAGAAAGGACTATTTGAGCATTCCGCCATCTTAATGTGTAACTTTAATATGCATATACAACAAGTTTTAATATATTTCTTTGTGTTTATTCTCGTTCTCGTTCGGGATGGAAAATGCAGTCAATCAAAGGTGAATATTCCCGACCCTTGTCAAAGGGAAAACCATCTGAGTAAGGATATACACACCAATGTGGCGAAAATAATAGAATTCTCTTCAAAATTAAGAAGAATCTCTGACACGTTGTACAAAGAACACATGAACCTGACAGATGCTTTGATTAAATTGGTTGGACTGCCAGGTGAGATTTATTTTATGAATATACTTCATTTATTATATTGTTTTTTTTGTCACTTAATTATTGCAAGGTATTGGTGGTTAACATTTTACGTACATGTATTTATTTTATTTCGGTGGCATATCCATTTGTCTGTCCGTGCGTCTAATGTTACTATCATCTGGATGTATGTTTGTCTATATGACTGTTTGTCCCTTAACATTTTACTTTGCTGAGAATTTTTGATGGATTAGAGCTTTGGATTTAATAGTTCGCAAGTATTGACCTTGTGACGAAAGTTACCAAAGTTTTAAAAATTTTTATAAAATTTGAACGATTGATGCTTGAGCTTTCTTGTTAGCATTTCTTGTGATAAGAACTTTTCTTAAGCACGAAAAACCTTGACCTTCAGATCTTACCTTGTAGTCTGAACTCCCTTTCCTCTGACAAAATCTTCCCTTGAATGACAGTATTGTTCACATTTACACTTTTACCTTGAACTTTGAGTTGTATCTTCTTTTAGAAAAATAACATCGCCATATATGGACGATTGGATTTGACCTCATATTTCTTAGATTGTATCTTTGTGGCATGGCCTACCCTTAATTATAAAGCTCGAGTTTCAACAATTTTAAAACTTTGACCTTGAAGTGTAAAACAATTTAAACAATTTGCTTGTGGGACTTTCAGGATTCACAAATATATTCCTTTACACTAGATTCTCTCTTTGTCTTGAAATTTTGACTTCTTTGTTCCTCATGTTTTTAGTTTGACATTTTCTTGAAAAAAATTATATTCCATCGTAAATTTTGAAAGTTTTTGCTAGTTCTTTTTTCAAAGTTCACATCTGTATTGTAACAATACAATTTCATGGGTACAGTTTGACTTTGTATGTATGACTCTTTAACTTTGGCCTTAGGTATTGAATGTTTGGTGCTTTTATATTTTTCAGCTATTGTCTTCGTAACAAGACCTTGGCTAACCTTTGCCACGAGCTGCCAAAATTAGACATCTGTCTTCCACAAATATCTTTAAGTTTGATTTGTATTGTCAAAAACCAACTAAAATTGATCCTTACGAATGTAATTCAAAGTTTTAGTAACATTGAGGTAAAAATGAGAAGCAAACATTCACAAACATGTTTGTTGTGCATGTGATTTAAAAAATCAATCAGATGAAAATAAAATCTGCATATTAAATAAATATATTGCGTAAATGCGTTTCTTGTAAAAAAAAATTGCAGAATACCATTTAAATGTAACGACAAGTGTTTAAAATTAAGACGGTATATCTGAATAATCTAAAAAAAAATGATCATAATTAAGTCATTCTTTTTCAGCTTCAGAGGTGCCTAAAGTATGTCAACAGGATCCTTCTTTAATATTTCCACACCCCAATGAGTGTCAACTGTACTACAACTGTTCCATGACGTACAATAAGGTCCCAGCTAACCTAGAACAACACTTGATGGAGTGTCCGTACCCAGAAGTTTTCTCCACACGTTCTCTCAAATGTGAAAATTTTACAAGAGTATGCTGTGACACAAGACAGGTCATTAAGGATAAATGTACGTCTTTTGTATTTTATTAGGAAATTTGTATCTTGTATTTGAAAAGACAAATTACTGGGGTACATATATTAAATCATATTTTTATTATAGAAAAGATATTAAGCCAGTATTTGAATCCTAGTATTCATTTTTAAACTTATAACTGGAATTCAATATTAATAAATTCACGATTTTTTCACCGAATAGGTGATTATAGATCATATGTTGGAAGTAAAAGGACGTGTCATAGGACATATCCAAGTTGTAAGAGAAAACAGGATGGTTTACACCAGGGATATCAAGGTCCAAACTCATACATTGACTGTTTCCAAGAGCGTTTGATTAACAAGGGGACTTGTAAGGATGACAAACTTTGGGATATATACAAAATCCCCTACAACGGTAAGTGTACAAACCCTTTCGAGGTTCCTCACAAAGATGGCGGATTTCTATCTAGTTGTGAGGGGAAAACGGATGGGAACTACCGTTTTGAGCATGACAGCTTGTACATGGGACAAGGAGATTACTTCGGATTTGGTAGACAATGTGATGCGTTCTATCGCTGCCAAGGGGGCGTGGCTACAGCTGTCAAATGTCCGAATGGAACTGTGTTTGAATCGGAAAGTAGAAGTTGAAAGGCTGGTAATCAATCTATAGAACTGGGATGTCAGCTATACTGTAACCCTACCTTTAAAATGTGGAACGGGTTTCCAAATAATTTGGCTGAATGTCCCTATCCAGAACAGTTTTCTGACGTCACTCATAAATGTGAAAACTTCACCAAGGTCTCATGTGGCTCTCGTCCTCAAGTCAAGGACTATTGTAAGTATTCAATACCTCAGTTTACTTTCATCTTTTGATTACAAAAACATGAAGGAATCTTTTTTTTTCATGATAAAATAGTAGAATGTATATATAATGATATATGAAATAAAACAGATATTTTTAAAAAGTCTATTGTTAATTTCATGATAGGACGAAGAGAGAGAGAAAAAAACCCAAAGTAAACTATCGAATTGAACAAAAGCATCACGTAACGTAGCATATAACGATATATATTGTAAGCGTAGCGAAGCATGGTAAACCACAGTATCAAAAAAGATATGGATAACAAAAATATAGAAGTCATTTATCATCCATAGTAAATAAAATAAAAAAGAACTTTTATAATCTAAACATTTGGGAGAAATAATTTTAGAAACAAATCTCTATCATTG